TATTAAGATAACGCTATGATTCTAAACGACAACATCAAAATTTTTTCCCAAGAGAGGAGGACTTCAAAGGGCGAAAATATCTTTAATAATAAGCAGGATGAACTGCTTTATAGAGGGTTTTAAACCTCTTGTACAAAAGGCAAAACGAAAATAATTTTTCGGATATTTTGTCTTTCAGAAGGAGGAGTTCTGCACGTGGTCAATGGACCTAATAAGGATCGGCCCGTACAGGGGTTCACAATTCGTGTTTCTGATGGAACCCTTCTGCAAACATGGCCCACAGAAAAAGGACAGGTACAGAAGTGATAGTCAGTCATTTCTAGTTTGCTTTGCGTCAAACTAGTTAACTCAAATAGTAGTGTGGAGTACTTTATACTAACAGTGGCTGAAATGCTAATTTATGTACAGTTGAACCTCCAGTCCACAACGGCCTCCTTGGGGACAGAGGAAAGTGGCCGTTGTAAAGAGGTTTGAACAGAAATGTGACTGTTGTAGAGAGGTGGCCGTTAGTGGATCGAGATTTGACTGTGTGGCGCGCGCAAATCAAACAACTGGCTTGACCAATGGCAGAGCGACAAATTGGGTACCGGAAGTCGAGTTTAGTCGTTTTCGCGCGCTTTCCGGTCGTTAAATGATGTTCTGTTGCTAAATCAGGCTAATATGTAAGTGTGTAATTTATTTATTTATTTGTTTATTGCTGCAGGCTCTTTCCCAGCCTCACGACGTAGTGTCATCCGTTGATGGAACGGAGGTATACGTTGTAGAACTCAATCCAAACAGAGTGTGGAAACTTTCCTCGAAGCAGCAACCTGTGGATGTTCCGTCAATATCTACTGTTTCGGCTGTAACAAACAACATTGCTCAAAAAAACAGTCAGCCCAGTCCTAAACCAACTAGTGAAAAGGTTCATACAGAGCAATCACATCACGGCCCTCGTGTTTTAGATTTGGTTGAAGAGAAGGCCAGTTTGGTCCCAACAGATTATGACTCAACCACTGCGACAGGAACCGAAAATAACGGCTCACAAAGACATGGAGATGTTAAAAGTGGGAATGCGAACCTCAGTCAAGTGGAGTCAATGCACCACAACAAATCCACTAGTCCAGTAAAAGGTGATATGGGAAACAATTTAGCCGAACCTGTTACTAAAGCCTCATCAGATAAGAACAATTCTACAGGCGCACCAGAAAGTGATACTCTAGACGGTGATGACAGCCGCGATGACGTAACAGCGGGCGTAATTCCCGCGCTGGTTATTCTGTCGGTGCTTGCTGTTCCCATTGTGTTCCTGCTCCTTATTAGCATCACACTGCGCGTGCGTGCTTACCGTCGTGACAAACATCTTCAAACGAACGGTTTCCATGGAAGCAGGAAGAATTTGTCAGTGGGGAGGACACGGGGCTGGTGGTCATACATGAATTGCTGTGACAGGCAGAAGTACAAGTTTAACAGGGTCACGCTACAGGACTTTTACAGTGATTCGGACAGCGATGGCGTGTAAACAATGAAACAACAACAAAATATAAATTTACGGTTACGGCCCTATTCGCGAAAAATAATGCTTAGGTTTTCGAAGTTCGATGGTCTTACAAAGTTTGTTAGATTGTTGTAAATGTGAAATGGAGTCAGGTCATAAGTAGGTTGAATATGATCTACTGAGTGAATGCAGTCCTTAAGTTAGGGACAGTAGTTGCAGTTGCTCAAAAATTTTTAAAACATACCATAAACACTTAACGCAAGAATGTGATAACTTTAGTGTTTCGTAATAGTTTGTCAGCAATATAAGGCAAACTCAGTATGTCTTAATTGGCTGCCATGCAGTACTACAAGGACGAAAAAAAGTTTGATCCATTAGACACAAAATATAACTTAATTTTAATAAAAGAACACGTACGCACGCTTTCGATTCCATCACGAGACAAACGTCCATCTCCATCACTTGATAAAGTTTCCGTGATGGAATCGAAAGCTTGTGCGTGCTTTAAGTTTTATCGTGGAGTTTGAAAACTCGTTCATAATAAACATTATTGTAACAGGATCAAGTAACTCTTTCCTCACTAATATTAATGAAAGCCATCCTCAAGGCAGCTTCAAGTAAATAGACCTCTATAGCTGAAAGTTTTGTTTTCCCAACGTCATGTGATAATGCCCCAGAGAACTGTTTCTTTCAAATTTCGTCTTATTCACGCCCATATGTACACAAAATTTACAACAAGAAAAACGGCGAATTCGCTTGACCAACATTAGCTTAAGAGGTCTATTGCGCCAATACTTTTCACAATAAATATGCAAATTAATTCTTTATTTAAGTGTGAATAATATTTTTAAATGTCGTTTGCTTCATGTCGGGCATTAAATTGGATTATATTTTTAAGCCCGTTAAAAACGGCAAGGTATGCCTGTCAGTCAAATTTTGCCTTGTGGAGCGTCTTTAAAAGTGAACAATTAATTTGTGCCAACTCAACACTAGGCATGCGTGGCTACTGAGAGACGCAGTAAAAACAATGTTGTATTTCCTTAGACTATGTTATGTTTTTAGATCTCTGGTGCGTAGCTCTGTCAACATGGCACGCGGTTACAAGAATAAGAAAAAAGCACAAAAATTTGATTCTAGCCCGGTGACAGTAGAGCTGTGTACTTAGTGAAACCTGTGAAGTTGCGCCCTTGTTAGAGCTGTGTGGTGTGTATTGGCCAGCAGACTACGTCGTTCAGTCGTGCAGGACGTACCACTGCATCATAACTAAATACCAGTAGTATGTCTAGGTCTATGTGTACCCTCGGTATGGGTGGGAAACCCGCATAGGTTTAGCGTACGGGGTAGGTGATGGGAAGGGAGGAGGGGAGGGGAGAATCTTGCGCACAAGAGGGCAAATCGCGCGCTTGGTTTCGCCCATCCACCCACCTGCATTTCGATAATCTGCCAGAGCTTGGCCTGGGTTACAACAATAAGGATTCACTGCAGTGCGTTGTTTGTCCGTTATCTTTTTATGATTGTAACCTGAATACACGTTCTCTCTAATTTTCTACTTGTGATTATAGTTAACACGATGTTTTTGTGTCACTAAGTTAAATTTCTTTCCAGAAGCTTGACAGTATCTGATTTATTTTATTAATAAAATACCCTTTCACGAGTTATTACCTGTTGCATAATTTCATTCATACGGTGTTAGAATCACCGATAATGGCTAAATATCAATTTCATTTGTTTCCATTGATTTGAAAGTCTTCGAAATATATATATGTGTGTATACTTGTATACCGGCATATGTTTTTAAACTCCACTGTGAGGCAGGAGAAACAAAGTCATCAGTTACGGAAAAGATACACGTCTTACAGTTCGCGATTAAATTTGGTCGTGAATTGTTCTAGGCAACAACCGTGATAAAATATGAACTTTCTAAATCGGCATAAACTACAATGCTTCTGGGACTTTTAGTATATACTTTTTCATAAGTTTAAAGAGAAAACAATTTTTTTCTCTCGTTCCCCGCTATTACAGACTCTGGCTATTACAGACTCTAAATCTCCCCCCGACGGTGTCGGTAATAACGGAAGTCGACTGTAATTATAAGTTGTTAGAATCTGATTGGCTCCCTGTTATCTATTATCGACTAATATCACACTTATTAAACCACCACCCTGCAACGCACACAAATATACGTACCCTCCTTAAGACCACTAACAAAATAGTTTAAAAGTGAATTCTTGAGCTAGGATTTTACTATTTTGGGTTATGTCACTAAACACTGATCCATTGTTTAAAGGATTTTCTGATTCCCATTCTATTTTTTTTTTTTTCGCTTTTTGAACCGGTTTATTTAACCAGAAATCAAATTAGAGGAAACCATTAAAAGCACGAAAAGCTCATGTTACCTGCTTTTCATAACGTCATGGTCCTCGAAAAGTCGGAACGTAATTCAAGCGATGTACTTCTGTGTAAGCCGCTAAAAAGCACATTATCTTATTATATTTCATCTTATAATCAGTAACAGAACTTAGTTTTCATTTTTTATGTTTGCTTTGCAGAAAAATCATTCGGAAAGTGAGTACAATTTTAACCTGTTACCATTAATTGCTCTCAAAAACAAACTGCAGTGACTTATCAAATAGATTCAGGCATCAAATGATTAGATTGTCACAAAGTTGAGTAAGTATCATGGACGCCATATTAGCCTGCGCAGCAAGCGCTTCCCCGCGAGTTCGTCGAGAAAGCTGGGACGAAAGCCAAAAAAAAACTTTTTTTTGTTCCCGCTCTAACTTTCTCGGATAACTCGATTGGAAACGCTTGCTACGCAGGCAAACGCAATATGAAAAGCAAAAATAGTCAGCAAAGTATCTGGTACATGAGAAGTCAAATAGTGACAATAGAAACAATGCCAATTAACATGCTTACAACATGTAGCTCTTCCGGTGAGGGTTACTGTTTTTCTTGGCAAGATAAATTTGTTTTCCTACTCAACGCGACGAATGCCAAGATAACGGTATGTGCACAAATGTTTACAATGCCCAACATTGAAAATAGATTAAAAGCCTCTTCTGTGAGGAAGCAGCCCTTGGTGCCGACGACAAGAAAACAGCTTGGTCTTCTAAAAATTAACAGCCTTTAGCCGCATTTAATTTCCGGACAGATTCTGGAGAAGCTACTTAAGGTGCTGTGTGAAAAGCACATCCACCTCAAAAAGGCATCGAAAATTACCATACTCGACTACATCTTTTACCACCATCTCCCTATTGGTAGTGTAAGCTCAAATTTTAGTCAAAGTAATATAAATACTATAGCAGGAAATGTCCTTTTCCAGATCTCTTGATTTATATATATATTTTTTTTCGTTTCGTTGATGTATCGTTTCAGCTGTCGTTTACGCTCACTTTTCTTTATTGATGGCGAAGCATGCCTGTGTTAAGTAGTCAAAAAGGTGACGAATTTCTCATGTGTGTGGTTTTTTTTTTTTTTCATTTTTAATCAGGTTTCAGCGACGTAGGCTGGATTAATTGGCAACATGTCCACTACAAATGGCACAGGCACTGAAGAAGACATCAGCCGGTTAGAATTACCTCCAGAATCAGTTGTGGTTCTCTCCATCGTCTCTGCTTTGACGAGCGTTGCTGGCTCCTTAGGAAATGCTTTGGTTATGATCGCCGTCTTCAAATCTCAAACTCTCCGTAGCATCCCCGACTACATCATATCAAGCTTGGCATTTTCAGATTTTACAGTCTGTTTTATACATTTACCGTTGATGATTCATAGATACAACCACTACACCAAGTATTTAACACACGTTGATTCAGCCGTTTCCATTGCGACGTCCTTTTTTGGCCATTGCTCCTGGATTGCATCGGTTACAAACATGTTTGTGGTAACAATTGATCGTGTTATAGCCGTACGTTTTCCACTAAAATACACCCGTATCATGACAGTGCCAAAAGCCTTGTGTGCCATTGCGCTTGTTTGGACTATTTCTCTGACTTTTGGAGCGTTTTACGCTCGAGAAATTGGTGCTTCAAAATTAATCATACTCTCCTACTGCATCATTCTAATGATTGGTACTTGGGCTATGTACGCATACATCTTCTTCGCTGCCAAGCAACAAGAAAACAAAGTTCAAACTTTGAATTCGTCTGCAGGCCCTCTTGTATCAGCTGAACAGAAAGCCGAGAAAAAGGCAACAAAAACCATTTTCACCGTTGTTGGAATTTATACATTGTGTTGGTTGCCATTGCTGCTTTTCCCGATCATTGTGTTTTCAAGTTCTTCAAAAAACGAATTGTATAAGCGGTATTTTCCTTGGGTTCAGACGCTGTTGACGATTAATTCTGCGCTGAATCCGTATGTTTACTGTTTAAGAAGCCGCAAATACCGCTATCAGTTTGCAAAGCTCTTGGGGATTAGGCGCTACCAAAATCACCCTGTAGATGAATGAATAAGAGGTTGAATCACTTTGACCATCTGAAAAGCAAACTGAATATAAACGAGGATTTTTTTCAACTCAGCCAATGGTGACTTAACCTGTTACTACTAAAACTAGAACTAGAGCATTTCAGTTTTCTGATCCTATAATAACCGCTACATAACTTTGCATACAGCTAGTGCACGCGTGCCTTGTGCGTAGTTTGTTGCTTAAACGAAATGTAGGAAGGAAGGAAAGAAGGAAGGAAGTCTGTAAGCGCGGATGGAGGGAAGCGACGACCAGAAATACGTCTGTGTTCGCAGGCTAGGAGGATTCCAACAATAACCCTTGTTTAAAACCAACCCGTCATGTTTATTGCCGTGTTTCTCTTTCTTACTTGTAATTGGTTACTGATAAAAACAATAACAACAAAACACGAAAAAAACTTTTTAGTGTAAAATTATTTTATTCTCTTAGATTTAAAATTCTCTGATCTTTCCCTGTATCGGTAGTACATTGACGAATATCAGCGAACCATGCTCCTGAGTGTCAGTCCTCTTCGCGTGAATCGTCTGATATTTAATTTCAATATTAACGATGCGTTTAACTGTTTTCGCGAGAATTATTGCTAATTGCTGAAAGTCATCAAGAAAGGGAGGGACTGAACACAAGTCAGAATTGTGTCTCGAAACGCCAAATCCCATATCATGGTCTGCATTTACTTAAATTTATTTATCGCCACGTCCTTTTATTGTCACCAGGTTACACAACTGAAATGAAATTTTTATTTAGTTCGGTCGGATATTTGACCGGCGCGGTCTGAACACCATAACTGTCTAAATTTTTGTACGGCAAAGGCGTTGTTCCTCGGATGTGTGCGCTTGGTAACTCAGCTGGGCCGAGACGCCTTTAACCGAGACGCCATGAATTATTACCCTGCGCATGGGCGGATGGTAAAACCACTGAAAAAAGTTAAAATTCATCCTGGTTCGTTAGTTACGTGTCAAAAGAGCGAAAATATTGAGCGGTTCCATGTGAACCAACTATGCCATCCGTCAATTTTTTTAGCCGGTGGAAACTGATTCGTCCGGCCCAACGTAGCTTCAGAACCACGTACGGCAGCCAACGCATGTACCACGGGCGCGCCTTGCATCTCTATGGGTATTGGTTAAATCATCTTTTCAAGGGGATATTGATTTGGTCGTTATGGCGTTGTACGTTAAACCTACTTTAATATTGTTTAAACCAGAATGTGTCAAAGAATCTAGCCTGAGAAAACAACCGACATTTGGCGACGCCACCAACTGGTTTCCCCGCGAAATGACGTCTGAGAAACGAGCCAAGAAATTCCATGCTGATGACGCGTCACTACCAGAAACTGGGCGTTGCTTCTGATTGGTCAAAGTAAATTTCCCGAGCGGCATGACTAATGAGAGGCACTACCCAGATCTGGGTAGTGACGCCTCGTCATGCAGTATGGAATTTCTGCGCTAGTTTCTCAGACGTCATTTCGCGTGGAAACCACTGCTGGCGTCGAGAAATGTCGGATGTTTTCTGAGGCTAAAAAGAACCCAGTAGGATCTTAAAACGTTATGAAGCGTGTTATGTTAATCTCAGTCTCCAATATATTCAACGGGACTGTGATTATGTCCATTATGTAACCAGCTGTTGCTCTAGGCGGTTCAACAGAAACAGTTCCTTGACAGGATTCCAAATGCATGCAAGTATCACCTTGTAACACAAACTCCTCCCGTAGGATAAGTTCTACTATTCTGAACATCATATGATATACTTCAATGTCTGCCGAGGTAACTTGGTATAATTACCAACAACATGTCCTCTTGTGAGGGTCGATCAACCTCCGAAACAAATTTCACAAGCACTGAACGAACCTGCATTTATCGGACAGAACTGCCTCCAGAATCAGTTGTGATTCTCTCCATCGTCTCTGCTTTAGCGAGTGTCTCTGGCTCCTTGGGAAATGCTTTAGTTATGATCGCCGTCTTCAAATCTCAAACTCTCCGTAGCATCCCCGACTACATCATATCAAGCTTGGCATTTTCAGATTTTACAGTCTGTTTTATATTTTTACCATTGTCCATCTTTGAATTCAATCACTATACAAGCCAGATTACGCAACAGAACTCCGCGTTTTTTATTGTAAAGAACTTTATTGGACACTGCTCCTGGATTGCTTCGGTTACAAACATGTTCATAGTAACAATTGATCGTTTTTTTGCTATACGATTTCCACTCGAATACGCTACTTTTGCGTCATCAAAACCTGCCATATCCGCCATAACGATTGTATGGTTCATTTCTCTGACTTTCGGAGCAGTTTACTCCCGGGATATCGGAGTTCAATCAAGATTCATCATACTTTCTTACTGCATAATACTGATGTTGTGTACATGGGCTATGTATGTATACATTTTTTACACCGCCAAGCGACAAGAAAAGAGAGTTCAGACTATGAGTCCATCCACAGAGTCACATGTCTCTGCTGAGCAACAAAAAGCCGAGAAAAAAGCAACCAAGACCATTTTCACTGTTGTTGGAATTTATGCTTTGTGTTGGTTGCCGCTATTACTTCTTCCGATCATTGTCAATCCTTCCAAGAAGGAATTGTTGTTTAAGCGATGTTTTCGTTGGGTTCAGACTGTGCTGTCGTGTAATTCTGCTCTCAATCCGTACGTTTACTGCTTCAGAAGTCAGAGATACCGCAAACATTTTTTAAATTTCTTGGGAGTAAGGTACTTTAAAAATGGTTGGTCGATCTCAGTATCGAAAAGCTTGCGAATACAACCACCTCATACGCCAGCTATCGAACCGGGCACCCACTCTCTTCACCCGGCTTCTCACTAGGATAAAAAACCGGAGACAATTAGCAAAGTTAACACTTAACACTGATTTCTACAAAGTGATCATGAGACCCTAAGGTTTAAGACATATCTTGAATCATTTACTATCTGATATGAAATAGCTCTTTGGGTGTATAGCGGCGTCGCCTGTGGATGAAAAGGTGGAGGATGGGGTATAACTGACTCTAGCGAATTCTATTGCTAGAGCGTTCCCGGAAAACGAGGTCACTGCACTTCCGTGCACTGCTCTCTGTAGTACGGGCTTTCTAAAGTTGGAAACTCAGCAACGATCACTTGGCTGAAATGATCAATTGATAAGAGTTTTTCAGGACTTCTGCCTCAAGACTTTCTACAAATTACTTCTCTAGCTGTCGAAGTAAAATTCGGTGTATAAAGGTGTGTTAAGTCTGGCAGATATTCTGCAAATAACAGTTGTCATCCATCGGGTTGTATTTCTGCTGTTCTTGCTATTTTATTTAGACAGAGGTTCGCCTATTTCTTCTTCGCAAAACGCGCTAAGTTTTCCGCCATTTTCTCAAGCTCTACCAAAACAACTGAGATAAAACGCAACCTCGTCCTCAGGGCTTCTCGGTTGCAGTATTCCTTTTTCCTGGCGATAGACTGTACTACTGACGTCATTTTATCGGATATCGCCAAATTTGGTCAACGGGTTATGAAGATTTGGTGGGAAGATTTGAGCCAAAGAAAGATGGAGAAACATATTTTCAATAAACAATATGCAAAAGCAAGACGGGCAAAAGTGACGCCAAAGTTAAGTCATTTTGCTGTTACCTCTCTTATCAAACAAACTCCTTCCCAGGATTCTAACTCTGGGAACTACAGTAGCTTGTTGCAGTAGCTGCCATCAGAGGAAGCAACAATTTTTGGCATTTTAAATTGTAAAGATCTTTCAAAAAGTATTCACAAATTAGAGGGCTTTCGCATTTAAGTTTTGTAAGCACTTGGAAAA